TTGATATTCTTACCTCAAAGGCCTCATCTGTATGAACAGTTTGTTTCTTCAACAAAGCCAAAAACTTAAAGCCATTTGCAATGCTAAGTACAGAACCCTAGAATTTTACAATTTCCCAAATCCTCCTTTTTCCTCTTTCAAAAATAAATTATTTAGGTTTCAACTTTATCAGATCCTTAAAAAACAATGTAACTGCCACTCATTTTTATACTTGACATTTCTCTGCTTTCCACAATATTAGTAATTATAACAAACACAAAAGTCACAAAGAGAAGTCAGATGTGGTGGCACATGCCTGTAATTTCTGCATTCTGAAGGCTGAGGCAGGAAGATCAACATTCAAGGGGAGCCTGGGCTACAGAGTGGGGCCATTTCTCAAACAAGCATGCATGAATAACTCACCAATAAGCTCTGGGAAAAACTCAATTGACTTTTGATAAGTCAAGTGCTCAGATGGTAGGAACAAGTGCAGCTCAGTGTTTAAGTAGAAATTGAAACAGAAGACTTTGACAGTGTATGGAGAAAGATGCCATAGGATTGTTTACCTATTCATAGTTAATGTTTTCCTGCATTGCACCCATCTTTTGTATAGATTAAATGGACCTTCACATTATTTATTCTTTGGCTATCACACTTACCCTCACACACTTAATGCTTAACATATTATACCACACATTCGATGTTATTTGGATTTCTCCTGTATTGAAGGAATTTCCATTCCTTTAACTTGTTCAAGTCCAAACATTTTTGTAACTTAATTTAAGTTCTTTCTGGTCTTCATGGACTTCCCTCAAGAGTTCAGTTTATATCCAACTATTTAAATACAGTTCTTGGGGCCTGGGGAGATAGCACAGCCATTCAGAGAACTTGCTGTTTAGTTCCCAGCACAGAGATCTAGTATCTCACAATCACCTGTAACTCTAACTCCAGGAGATCTGGTGCCCTCTCCTAGCCTCTCTGACACTTACATATAGGTGTAATACACACACACACACACACACACACACACACACACACACACACACACACACATAAAATAAATTTTCAACTACAATTCTGTTTTGCATTGACTTCCTGCTGATTCTTCGAGGTTTGTTCCTATTCTGACTCCCAGATATACTATTCCCCCAATTACGTTATTAGCTCCCCAAGGTAGGCTGTCTTTATACTCCCCTAAAAGCCTCCCAGAATATAACTCCCATAAGGGATCCTGCCAAGGCAGCCACCTGAAGAATGTCATGGTATCAAGAAAATGATTGTTCACTAAGGTTTTGATTGTCAATGGGCAGGTGGTCAAAACATTACAAGGAAAGAAATAAGAGAAAAATATGGTTTTGCATTTTTAAGTTAATTATTCTCTTCCCATTTTTACAAGGGTAGAATGGTGGATCTGGCTCATAAGCTTTGAGGATCATAATTATCTTTGAGAATATGATTGAAGCTAAGGGGCTTTAAGGGGCCTTCCTTAGAAAAGTAAAATAAGGGCTCAAACACAAAATCTTTTCTTTCTTTGTTTTTTGTTTTTTGGTTTTTTGGTTTTTTGGTTTTTTTGGGTTTTTTTGGAGACAGGCTTTGGAGCCTGTCCTAGAACTAGCTCTTGTAGACCAGGCTGGTCTCAAACTCACAGAGATCCTCTTGCTTCTGCCTCTCGAGTACTGGGATTAAAGGCATGCACCACCACTGCACGGAAAAATACAAAATCTTACTTGTAATTTCTGGAAACCCCCAAACACTCAACAGGCTAGATCCTAACATTGCTAGTGGTAAGTGATTCTTCCCAGAAAAGTGAATCACTGAAGGAGTATACCCTGATTACTTGCATTGACTCCTTGAATTTTGAGTAGCCATTGCTGACTCTTGTGTGCCCTGCCCAATCACTCCAAAGGTAAGCCATCCATCTCCTGACCTCACTTCCTGGAAAGTGCTGCAAGTGTGAGCCTGCTGATGGCTAGGCCTCTATACTAACACTCAGGCAACTTCTCTTATTTTTCATTGTTGGGGAAAGGGCCAGGATAGTGTTGCTATGGTGACTTTGATTGCCAACATTGTAGTTAGGATAAAATTCCCTCCAGTGGAAGAAGATAAAGCTATTGTTGGGCATGGTTTAAGACCCCCCCCCCACACCCCCGCCAGACTATCTCTCTCAACCTCACCTTTGTACTTTGTACCTCAAGAGACCCTGGAAACAATGAAATGGAAAACTGGATACAAAACCAGAGGCAAAGTGTTAAAGGTTTTCAACTGTTGTTCAATCTCTGTGAGCTACATATCATGAAATTAAATGTTAATGATTTCCATAATTTTTGTTGGAAATACTTTTTGTGTGTGTGCATGAAATGAACAACGAATATAAAATCTTCCCTTCCTCCCCTACTCCTGCAACTTTTGCATGAAGATGAAGATGGCTGCAGATATTTGCAAGTAGCTCTGGGTAAACAACAGCACACCCAGAGAAGAGATTAGAGTTCTTTCCTCTGGAAATAGCATAAGGGAAGCTTAGCAAATAATAGGAGAGTTTTATCTAAAGCCCATATCTCTCCTGACTTCACTTTTTGGTATCTCCAGTGGTTTTCCTCTGTGAAGCCATTCTGTGTTAATGTGAATTTGCAAATGAGTTTCCTTCACTCACTCAGCTTGGCTCTTTGATGATAAAAATCATTTTAGAGAAGAATTCCACCTTTAGGACAAGACAGGGAAGAACTGTTTCCTCCAGTAGGTGCCCTGTGATTTTTCTTTGTCCCTAGACCAGACAGACACTGTCAGGAGGTGCAGCTCTTAGCTACTTGGCATGGTAAGCCTGAGGAAGTCTCTGTTTCTTTGACTTTTAGTAAAACTCACTAGTGAAAAACTAAGCAAGCACATTTAAGAAATGGAGTCCATCCAGGCATCTCCTTTTATTTCTTTTCCTGATATGGTCTTCACAAAAAGCAAGTACAAATATGCTTTGTTTTCTGCTCTTTAAATACCTGTGAGTAGAGGGTGCTTAACACCAGAGAGGACCAGGAAACTGCCAGAAGGTCTTATAATTGCTCTCTACCCACCATCACCACAGTTTTTAAACCAGCATTGAGTTTTTAAATACAACCTCATCTCTTCAACTCAAGGTGGCTTCAACAGTTCTCAGCTGTGACTTTGTTAAGTTTCTTGCCCTTTCAGAGCTTTAGTTTCTCTTTTATATTAAAGACAGAAACAAAAGATTGAGATGTTTGATGTAGTTGGAGATGGTAAATGAGTTAAGGAGTCAGAACAATGGTACTTCAGAACACGTGGTAAGTACTGGCAATTAGCAGGCATTAACACAAACCCTCTTGTTAAGCCCCCAGCTATGCACTGTCCTTCCCAACTTTCACTTGTGTTTCTTACTACCTACAATGTTTTTGTCCCCCTTGCCTCTAGCTAGAAAATCGAGATAGAGCTACTCCATCCAAAAGTGATGTAGCATAGACCTACACGAAATTTATGTTTTAATTGTGGCATTATGAAGGTAAAAAGAGACAAATTAAATTTTTAAAAATTTAAAGATATATTTATTTTTTTATTTTATGTGTTATGAGCATTTTGCCTGCATGCACGTGTGTGTACCAGTTGTGTGTCTGACATCCCCTAGGACTGGAATTACATACAAATGTTTTTGAGCCACCACAACGTGGATGCTGGGAATTGAACTCAGGCCCTCTGCAAGAATCAGTGCTCTTAACCACCAAACCAACTCTCCAGTCCATGAAAATGAATTGTAATAAGAACATTTTAACTTGCAATATCCAAAATATTTATGTTTCAACATGAATTCAATATAAAGATAAAATACATTTTATATTTACAAAAGAGGTAATTTTCGTTTTTTCTTTAAAAGTCTATGTGCATTTTATACTTCTAGTACATCTTAATGCAGGTTGGCTATGTCTCAATGGCTCACTAGCCACACAGGTTAGCAGTAAAGTATGGGAATGTACAGTAAGCAAGCAACTAGGAATTCTTTGTTGTTGTTGTTGTTGTTTGTTGTTTGTTTTTTGTTTTTTTGGTTTTTTTGTTTGTTTGTTTTTTCGAGACAGGGTTTCTCTGTGAAGGCTGTCCTGGAACTAGCTCTTGTAGACCAGGCTGGTCTCCAACTCACATAGATCTGCTGCCTCTGCCTCCTGAGTGCTGGGATTAAAGGCATGTACCACCAATGTCCTGTGCAACTAGGAATTCTTAACTCCAGAAGTAAATAAGTCCTGTCAATAATGGATGGCATGTATTTACAACATGATGCCAAAGAAGATGCTAAGAATGTATATTTCATGTCATTTGCATGACAGTAGCCTTATCTAGGTCCCTGTGTTACATTTTACGGATGGGAAAACTGAGAACGTAAATATGCTAAGGAGCGCTAGTAAGGAGCAGAGCTCAGATGTGAACTTGACTCTATCCAACTCCAGAGATTACACTGGTTTTGTGCATGCTGCTTCATTGATTGAAAGTCTAAATGAAGATCAGCCTTCTCTGCAAGGCCCTCAGAAGGACATGTGAAAATTCAACACATTGACACAGACTTAGTTTATAAAGACTGAGTGTAGTCATGGGTGTTCCCATGGCAATTTATGCCATCAGTCACCCTATAAAACTTGTATTTGTTTACTCACGAACTGATTGTAACGAGATGGAGCCTCTGCTCTCCTGACCTCTAGGAATGAGACTGCCAAGGGGGGAGGCTTGTTTAGGGAACCTCTGGAACAGTGGAGTTCTTGCCGATGAACTCTCCCATGCGGGGTCCTTTCATCCTGGTCAAGACCAAGCAGACAAAAGTAGATGGTCTCTAAGCAGTGCTTATAGCTGGTCCTAAAGATGGTCTTGCTTTTATTGACAGACGCTTACAGCTGGTGACATTATGGTTTGAAAGCAGGACCACTTTCAGTAGGAAATGTTAACTCCCTTTTATGAGCTCTGCTCTCAAGACTGAAAATGGTGTTAACTCCTGGTGGTTTCTGAACAGTTGCTTTTCTTATTTATAATCATTAAAGGCCAGATTTTGACGAGAGCTGGACCATAATCCAAGATCGGCTGCAGATGGACTCCATGGTTATCAAAGGCCTTGATCCAGATACCAACTACCGGTTTGCTGTGAGAGCCATGAATGCCCATGGCTTCAGCCCACGCAGCCTGCCCAGCAACACCATCCGAACCCTGGGTGAGTGCTGTAACTGTCCTGAAGAATTTGAACAGCTGTGCCACTATGGTCATCTCTCAGAGCCTCACTTGCTCAACTGATGAACAGCCTGGGATGGGGCTCTCCTCAGGCTTCCTCCTGCAGTTTTCCCAGAACTTTGAAGGTTCAGTTCTCCACAGGGACACAGGCTATTTCTGTTCCTAGGCAGTTAGGGAAGGTTTATTTTTGCATCGTCCTTGGGGAGTCTGTGGTTGGTTTTTGTTCACAATCACGGGCTAGATCTCATAGCAAATGAGATGTGTCATCTCCCCCTGCCTCTCATCTTTTGAGAAGGTGAGCTCATCTTGGAACCCTTCGGGGAGGGACTAAGACCCTCGCCCCAGACTCTTCAGGGTCAATGATTGCCTGCCAAACAAGGACTTTCAGCTGAGTGTGGCACACCCCTGTAATCTCATCACTTGGGAGGCTGAAGCAGGAGGGTCAGTGTTAATTCAAAGCCAGCCCAGGCTACTTAAACAAACAAAACAATTTGCATCAGTCCCTCTAAGTGTTGGTCAACAACTCTCAAAACAGATCCTGGCATGTTGACTCATAACTTGGAAGACTAAGTTAACTGTGTAAATTCTCAAGGTACCTCTGGGGATCTGGAGGACACTTAGGGCAATGTTGAGCAAATAAACTGAGGATTTTCTTCAAAGTCAAAAGTATGTCTCTGGTCTGGGGTTCAGCAAGCTGTCACATGATGCCAAAAGCTGTACTTCCATTAGAAGGGTTCAAAGAAGCTTGCCAAGTCCAGCCCAGGCCGGTTTCAAAGTCTTTGTACTTTGAAAGTGGGGTCACATTTATATAAACCTAGAACCATGGGAAGTGAGGTCTCAGAAGGGGGTCTCAAAAGCTCTATATGTCTTTGCAGTTCAGCCCTGGAATTCTTCCAGAAGAGCCCTGCAGCTGCTACAGGCCCTGTTTACCCAAGAGAGGGGCTCTAAAAGGGAAGTCTACCCTGGATAGTTGGTTTCCCATCGCCTTGCACAAAGTACCATCTTTGTTGTTAGGATCTGAATAAATCCCTCCCCCATAAAATACCCACATAGCTGCCTTCCAAGGCTCATGCTATTTCCAGGAAGAGATCTGCTAGGATCTCTTCCAAAAGTCCTGGGATTCATCTTCTTCTATACAGAGTATTTACCCTGTAACCTTCAGTGGTGGGGTTCCCTTCTTCAAATTGAATTGTGAGGGTATGCAGAGAAACCTCACCTCTAGTAGTTGCTCCCTGTCTTCCTATTTACCCACCACAAAACAACTACAATGGGCAGTAATTGTTTTCCCTTTCTTCAGAATGGAGAAGATGCCCAAGCAGACTTTTCAAATGAAGACCCTTTTTTCCACAAGCCACGCTAGCAGCTCTATTTCAAGGGCAGGCCTCCTTCCATGCTTGCTAAATGTACTGTCTTCTGTAATCTTAAATTGGTCAAAGTATAGATAATGAGAGCTAGGGGCTCACTGTACTTCTGAACACTTAGGCTGTCTTCATGTATACATTCTGGCACTTGGTGTGTATGTTCCCTGCTCCTTCCCAGCCCTTGATGCGTCCTCTACTTCACAGAATGAAGAAAGAAGATGATGTGTGTGGCTCAGCCTGACCTTGACCTTGGATGTGGAGTGCACATTAGCTTAAGGAACAGATGGGTGGGTGGGTAGGGTATCCCTTTAGAATTTTCTTTTTAAAAATGAATTAGTGATGTGGTCTTTGAGGTACTGACCATTTTCCCCTCCATTTCTTGATTATATTTTTAATGGAAAAGGTGGAGAAAATGCAAACCAGCAAACAAAATAAGGTGGGAGATGCAAAAATACTTTACAAATGTGAGACATTTTACTCTATTTTTTGACTCCCAGGGAAAGTAAAATTTTATAATTTCATAGTAGTTTGTGCAAAGAAGGATGACAAAGCCAAACAAACAAACAGGCAAAAAGTAAAGCAACAACAAAAAATCCCAATAAGACAGAAAAAATCCCCAACCCCCCTTCTTTTGCTCTCCCCTTTTGCCCCCTCCTCTCTCACCCTTCACTCCCCCCTCCCTTTGTCTCTCTTGCTTTCCTCCCTTTTAATAAACACCATGGTTAAAGAAAAAAGAAAACAACAACAACAAACCTTAAACCTCAGTGAACTATCATGATAGTTTTGTTGTTGTTGTTGTTTGGGATGTCTGGTTTGTTTTGGTTTTGAGACCTCATCTCAAATAGTTTAGGCTGGCCTCTAATTCCCTAAGTAGCTAAGGATGACCTTGAACTTCTGATCCCCTTCCTGAGTGCTGGAATTGCAGGCATGTACCACCAGGCCCAGTTAATGCCATGCTGGGTATGAAACCCAGGGGTTCCTTCATGCAAAGCAAGCACTGTAGCAACTGAGGTATGTTCCCAGCCTGTTATATGAACAAATATTCTTAAATAATTAGAGATCTTCTGTTCCTGCATATGTATGATTACTCAAATTAGGATAACAGGAATAGACTTTATTAGATGAGCCATTGCTTGAAAGCATAAAAATGTACTGTAGGTAATGCTTTGGTTGTTTCTCTTGGCTACACTACTGTCCAAAAGAAACCTTTACTCTCACACATTCTTGTTCTTAATTTGGTATTGGTTTTAAATTACATTGCTTCCAAAACATTTTCCTTTTCCATACAAAAATCACACACACTTACCAATTAGCATTATCTGAGTCTTAATGAATTTGAAGTTAGGGCTGACACTGGAAAGCTGGTCACTTGACTTAGGTGAAGTCCACTCATTCCTTCTAGAAACCTGGGGTGGGAGGGATAGCACCCACTTCTTACAGATGGAGAAATTAGCATATCTGAAAAGTTAAAAGTTTTCTCAACTCTGATAATTATGCAGGCAGGATTTGAAGTTGGGCTTGCTGACTGCATAGCTACTTCATTGAGTATGACTCAAATGGATGGACTCTTTCTGTTAGCTCCCAGTATCCCAGGAGAGGTTAAAGTCAATGACTCAGTGGCAAGGGGAGGGGCTGTCTGTGTAGAAATTGGGAACTAGGGAGGTGCTGGCAACACAGAATCCAGCTTCCAACATTTGCATTTCTTTCCTTTTTGCAGTCTGAGTTCCCTGACCCCTGATAGCCACTTTTCTGTTCACCATGCATCTCATTTCTTATTTTTATTATTATTTTGAGAATGTTGCAGAAGAACAGTTGTACAGTATAGAGTCGGACATCTTAGCTGTTCTTGGATTTGGCCGATAGTGATGGGAGGAGGCCAGGGCCCAGCCTCTGCTCAGCCAAAGTGAAGACAGCATTGTTTGGGTGGAGCCTTGACAGCCATGTGCCTCATCTGCTTCAACCTCATTCAATCACAAAATGGAATGGGAAGAAAATAATAATAATTAAGACTCTAAGTATCTGGTCCTCTCTTGAGAAACAGCGTTCTTTTGGTCACTCTAAATGGTGACTCTCTATCTTGTATTTACCTCAGTTTCTCACAATTCGGTTCCCATGAGAAAATGGAAAATTAGAAGACTAAAATTCTCTTCTCTTCTCTGGCTTCTTATCCCCATCCTGCTGTATTTTTTTTTTTAATTCCAGGAGAGAAACACCAACAGCATTATAATTGGCCATTGATCTTGTAAATGACTAATTGATACGGCAAACCGGGGGCCTTGCAGGACATGTACCCATCCCATCTGGTGGTCACTTGCCCACTGAGGTCCATTCTTAGCTCAATCAGGAAGCATGGGCAGGACAGAAAGGACATGAATAGTAGGTAGGGCAGAAATAAAGTGCATGTATTCATTCTTTTCTTCATAGACAAAGATATAAGTAAAACTTAATACATGTATAATCAATCCTGAAACTTCGCCCTGAGGAATGGACTGTGGCCTTGCCACCCCAAGTCATTTAATTTCTAATGTTCCATCCTTGTAAAATAGTCAAAGAAAGAATCAATAAATTCTTTACTGAAGTGGATCTGGGGTCCTCAGGGCAGTCTCCCATAGATGTATTCTTTTTGTCCCTGCCAATAGTCATTTTGCTCCTATTGCCTCAGGCCTTTGGCACCTGCTGTTTCCTCTGCATGGAGCTCTCTTTCCTCAGATCTTTCTGTGACTGTGACAGCCCTCTCTATTCTGCATTTAGGCCATAGTTCACTTCCTTGGGCTTCTGTTATTCCCATGGTCCTGCTTCATTTTCTCTCTAGCAATGTCACTGTCTGGAACAATTGTGTACATTTCATTATGTCTATCTCCCCTGACAATAAGCTCCTTGTTGGGGCTGGAGAGTCTTGATCAATGCTGATTTCCCAACCCCCTCCACCATGTAAGCACTCAATAAATGCTATTGAGTTCATGTGTGAGTGTCACTTAACCAGCCAATAGGCTGTTTTGGAGGTTGAGTGACTGCATGGCTGATGTCAAAGCAGAGGCAGGCAAGGGTGATCTAGAAGACCACACAGGTCCAAAGTGAGCCACTCAGTGGCAAAGTCCTTAGGCAAAAACATCAAAATCTCCAGAACTACAGTAAGAAAAAAGTAAATAGGATGAAAGAAGAAGGGAGGATAAAGGGAGGATAGTACCCCAGTAAATTTAAATTCAAGGCACTAGGGATGGGAAAGCCTTGCAGATGGGACAGTAGGAGGAATATTTACATCCTATTCCAAACCAAGCCCTCAATTCTCTCCTGTGATCTTTCTTAACCATCAGAATAAGCTCTAATGTTTCATTATTATATTTGCTGCTGGTCCTAATAAGTCTCACCGTAGTCTCAGATCTTCAAAGACTTTGTAGAAATGTTTTGTTTGGGTTTTTGCCATCTCCCAAATCCAAGTTTTCCTGCAGTTTTAGACCTTCCTCTTCCTGTGACCTGAGACAGACCCACATGGTCACAATTAGTCAGATTTTTACAGTAAATACTTCTCACATCCTCCCCATCCTCCTCGGTGTCTGGTGATGTCTGTTTCTATCTTCGATGGCTCACTGTCTGTGTGTGACTCTGACTTTTGCTCACTTCT